ACACACGAGAGAGATTTGTCCAAGGTTAAGGAAGAAATCTGTGGCACAGTAAGGAAGTCCTATTAGATTTCTTGCCTCTTTGTCTTGTTGCCTAAAACCATTCTTCTAAGAGATTGATGGCAATTAGTCTCCATGGAACCACGACACCATTTAATGAATCAAAAAACAGGAAAAGCCTATCTCTGAAAAAAATGTCTTTCCTGTTTCAGTAGTATATTTGTAATGCACAGTGACAGGAGAAGACCGGAAAAAGAGACATTTCTCTCGAGTGGGTTGATTAATTAACATAGATTCCCTGAATTCAGTCCAAGAAATCTATGCCAAGGAGGAATCCTGTACTGCCTTTCCTAACTGAGCTTGGAGCAGTCCCCCCAACACATTATCTCAAGAGCACAGAAGGAAATCACAATGCCAGGTATGAAATTGGCCTTTTTGAGCACTAAAGACATCCTTGATGCAGATGGTGGGCCCAAGGACAGAAACAGTGTTTATCAACTTAGGAAATGGAGATGAGGAGAATGTACAACATAAACATTGTCAAAACTGAGAATAGTTGTTTTGTCTGGAAGAGGTGTTTTACTTGATTTCTACAGTTATATTGTTTCCTGTTTGATGAGAGATGATTCTGAAGTGTAGGCTTATATTCAAATTCCCAATTCGCTAAGGCTTAGAAGGGGTCAGAAATGAGGTTTATTTCACAGAGGTTTCTGCTAGTTCATAAATCCTACAAAGGTTGGTTTGTTAGGGACAGCTGAATGCATTGTGTTTTTTCTTAAAAAAAAAAAAAAATCATAATACAAACTCTTTTTTAACTATAAAAAACAGGCAGCTTTTGAAAGTCAACATTAGATGCTAGATAATGCAGAAGTTGGGAATATTATTATTTGACTTTTCCTAAACCATATAAAATAGATGATAATGGCAAAGGTTTGGGCAAAACTGCATTGCATCCATTAGCTTTTTCTACATAATCAGCATGGGTTAGTAGTATCCATTATGGTCCACATTGCAACTCAGAATAAATTACTCAGTGGCTCGCACAAACCCACATGTTACCACTCTTTGGAAAAGTCCATTACTCTTTGGCAAAGTAGTTCAAGACTAATGCAGATGTTATAACTTCTTGAAATTTTGTCCCTTCACTTAACTGTATTGTCTCTGTGCCATTGAGCATCATCTGCAATCTGGCATTCTATCAAACATCTCTCCCATATAATTTTTTACCCTCAAAAGTACTCTCTGTGCTCCACATTTCCCATTTTATTAAACCATGTAATTTCTCCTCTGGAGTAATTTCTCATATGGAAAGGGCTAAGCAGAACAGAGCTGAGTGAGGAGATACTGAGGTTAATCACAGGATAAGAACACAATCCAAGTGGGAAAGGACCCCAGGAGGTCTGCAGTCCAAGCCCTTGCTCAAATCAGGGTCAGGTCTGAGGTCAGACCAGGCTGCTCATGGCTTTATCTAGTTGCTTCTTGAAAACCTCCAAGAACAGAGCCTGCACAACCTCTCCAGGCAACCTGCTCCACTGCATGGCTGTCACCATGATGAAAAAGACTTTCTCTCTATCCAGTCTGAATCTCTCTTCTCTCTCACCCTCCCACCACGCACTGCTGTCAAGAGCCTGGCTCTTCACATTGATAACCTCCCTGTAGGTGATGGGGGGCTGCTGCCAGGCCCCCCTGAGGCCGCCTTTTCCCCAGGCTGTACCAGACCCTGTTCATCAGCCCCTCCAGCTGAGGTGCTCCAGCGCATCACCACCTTCAGAGCCCTGCCCTGAACTAAAGATGATTGAGCTGCCTTCGGATACAGAGCCAGAAGAGATGCATCTGTACAGCCCTGCCATCAGATGCACCAGTCCCGCGAAGAATGAGCGCAGCACAATGCCAGGCCTTTGGCACTCAAGTAAGGCGCTCTCACAGCATTGCACCTTCTAAATAGGATATGACAGATATATTTATATGTATATGTGTATGTAGACAACAAGTCAGCTCTAGAATAACTTCACAATGTGAATATACTGAACGGTATATGTGAAACATCTTAATGAAATCAAACAACGACCACAGAACCACACTTTTCTTTAAAATGGTCTTAAAATCTTTTATACAATCACTCTTAATCAGACAAGATGAACTCCTTTTTACACATCCATTCCTGAATCCAAGATAGCTTGCTAATAGTAACAGCAGTGTATATGTGCAAAGCCATTTTTCAATGAATACTTGAAGCAAGAGATATTGAAACACAAGGTCTGTATCTCTCCTACCATAAATACAGAGTTTGAAAAGAAAAATAAATAGAAATAAGTTTCTTATAATGCTAATTCCCCCATGCCAGTTTCACCAGTAACTTATGATGTCCTTATCAGCACGCAGTATATCTCAGGCTGGGAATTATAAAAAAAGGCAAAGGGGAAAACATTAACTAGGTGTGGAAAGAATCAAATTCAATAACCATATCAAAAGATACTTAAGTAACGGAGGAGTATGAATCACCAAGTCTAACGTTAAAAATGTAGCCTACATTAAAGCCAATGACAAAATCCCCCAGAATTTCTAGCTGCAAAATCTTGAAGTGAGGATTCATATGCGGATTGGAACCCACTCTCAAAGTGGGGACATGCCTGGAGAAGGACTACTCTGAACCAGTATGCTAGACACAGAGGCCAGCTGTGACACTTGGAGCTAAAATTGGCCAGCATGCTCCCACACAGTAAGTGTACGTCACTGCACTCACAACTTTACTAGGCAGCACAAGTCTGACCTCTGTCAAGAGCCTGGAGTGTGACGTCCAATTCAATTATTAAAAGACACATTAAAATCTGGTTTACATGGTTAAGAAATAATAGTCACTCATTTTTTATTTTGGGATCAGTCTCCCCACTCTCTTTAAGGAGAGACATTTTTAGTCTATTCGGTTTCAACATTCACATTAATATCTTAATCTTGCTTAATAAGCAACCCTGTGCCAGAAATGGAGAGCTTAGTAAAGTTGTTCTCTACCAAATACAATCACATTTTGAAAAAAAAAAAAAAAAAAAAAAGTTTTATCTATTTTAGAGATGCATTAAGAAGCAGTTTATCTACTGGAGGTCTTCTCTGCACACACTTCGCTGTACTCTTCAGATATTTCACTGATCAGGACAATTCCAGGGTACTTCCATTACCTAACAGTGGCCAAACTCACTTACACGCTTCAATTTTGGGACAGAGTAATGTACTGTCTTTCCAGTGATATCAATAGATCCATTCTGCTCACAGTGAATGAGTGTCCTTCACCCTTCCCTCCCCTGTCCCTCCCCTCCCTATCCTCCCATGCCAGGAAAGGAAGGAATTCTCCTTTTCCTGCTCAAATATCCAATAATCATTTCAGCCATCTGCTTCAATACAAGAGTCTCTTCATAGAAGCCCATCTAAATGGCAAACCATTAGAGATTAAGATGATTTATTTTAGTTTAGTGCAGTGTCACTAGTTTAATAAAATAAAAAATAACTAAGGATTTGGGAAGTACTATGGCTTACCTATGTAAAAACTCACTCTCTTGCCAATACATTCTATCGCTGCTGACAGACATTAGAACATTCCTTTCATCTCCTTCCTCTTCTTGCAGTTTAACCTATCCCCTTAAGGAGTATTTGCTTTCTCTAAGATAGATTATACATTGTATGCAACATGAAAACCTTACGCACTTTCTCTACCATCTGCAAGGCTTTTCTGCCCACTTCTTTAAAAAGAATTAAATCAAAGCCCTTATTAGTCTTTTCATTTTGGATAAATAAACCAGGATTACTTTTCTGTTAGAAACTAAAACAAAAGGATTACTATTTCCAGATATATGCATCTAAATTAGAGAAGCATTTTTGAATATAATAAACCAAACATCCAAGCCTAGTGGGACCAAATGTGGAATGCAAACTGTGATAAAGAGCAAATACGAAGCATACACATACACACACACAAAACACCCCCTCTATTCATGCAGAAAACATGATCTAATATGGTATTGATGTCTTTCAAATAATTCTTTCTGCATCCCAGTGTGATTCCAGGATGTGCAAATTAAGATAAATTTTATGGGTCAAATTCTTCTTACCACTACATGTGCTCAAGTCAACTGAAATTGATGACAACTGGATGCTGTGTCAGAGGGTGGAATTTGGCACAGAAAATCACAATGTAAGGAGAAGATGTTATAAAAATAAAAATGACATGGTGCTTTGAATGAAAGAGGAAACAATTCTCAGTGTAGCTTGGGAGAAAAACATAGAGAAGCAGAAAAAGTTGACCCAATAGCCAGTAGATTATCAGATAAGGCTCAGTTGTCAAAACAGAGCCAACTGCGAAGATCTGAATGAGAATGTTCATAATGGCTCTGGATGAACCATTTCATAACTAACTCTAATGGAAGTAAAGCTACACTAGCTCCAAGTCCTGATTCACTTAGAGCTTAAAAGAGACGAGACTGGTTTATTACTTCTCTATTCTTTGGAAATCCAAAATAGCTATTTAAGACTTCATCATTGCAGAGCTTCATGTCTAATCACATTAAATGAAATAGTGTGATGAAACCTTCAGTACAAACTTCCCTCCTCTTTCTTCTTTTTTTGTTTTTTTTTTTTTTTACAACAGAAATGTCCCTAAAATAAGCCTGTGTAACTTGCAAAATAGACCTAAATCAAAACCAGATTCACTTATTCATGTAGATGATTTAGCAGTAATATTTCTAGCAGTGGGAGTTTGCAAATATTATCAAATCCATGTTCGTGTTTTATGACAACTGACCGATGAAAACCAGAAGCTATTCTGACACACATTTTAACCCATTTTTCTGCTACCGTAATGAATATGAGCACAAATGTCTTCCTGGTTAAACTTTTGTTCATTTGAGTGAAATGTGAAGATGTGTCATGTCCTCAGCTGAGTTCCAGAACTACTCAGGATGTCATGTAGCATTTAATTTCAAGCTCCATTTAGAAAACAGAATTAAACATCTAACCTGGAACAGCTATCCTCCCAGCTGTTGGATGATTCATTTCCATCACAAGTCCATTGTGCAGCACCTAGACAAAAAAAAAACACAATAAAACATGTATGTAATAAAAAATACAATCAGTTCCTAAACTCAAGAGAAAAAAAAGAGATCAATATTATTATGTTCTTTCACAGAAAATCTAAAAATACAGGGAGCTACAATTCAAGCAATTTGCTTAATTTGTAAAATGAAAGCCCTGATGTTTGACACTACTGTCTATTTATGCATCTAAATAAATGCTTCAGTAAGACTTTACATGTCTAACATATCTTTAAGCCCTTATATACAACATCAAACATAAGAAACTGAGATGCAAGCATGTCATACTTTCAACCACCAACAGACAACTGGTATCAACATGGAATGAGAATTAAAACCTTCACTCACTTTCACTTTTAATCTGCAATATATATTGAAGGCCTATACATAATTTATGCCCTTTAGTTTGTTTTTTCATTCTTACTCAGTTGATTTTGAACTCATGATGGATCACACTGTGAAATGCTGTCTTAGTAGCTCTTACAAACATTTAGGAGAGATGACATAATTTTGAAGTTATTTCTGTACTTGCAAGTGGGTATGTCATGCTTCAGCCCCGTGTATATCTGTATAGGACGACTGTTCATCACAGCTTCCAGATCCTTGTTATTAACCTCAACCAGAAAGAAATGTATGATACCAAAATTCTCAAGTAATAGAGAAAAAGAAATTCATAATAACAAGCTCGCTGCTATTGTTAATGGAATTCTGCATCCAAAGCCAATAAGTAATCTTTATCATTTCCTTACCTATTATTCTGTCATCCTTCTAACAGTTATCTTAATCACATAACCAGAACTCTTAAAAATTATTTCTTTTGAAGTGTCCTCTACAAATAAAATCCTCTCATTAACCAATTATTTTCATACCCAATGTAACAACAAGTCTAGAGTGCCTTGCCAAATGTATCACCTATAGAAAATGAAAGATGGGCAAAGACTGATAAGTGATGGTGTAATGTATCTACCTATTCACCTTGCGCCGTGAACAACAAGAACAACCTTGACTATTAATGACAGGTGCTGGTCTAATTATTCTTGAAACTTTACAGTTAATGAGATGACAATTTTCTTATGTAGTCTGCATCATATTCTGTGCCTTGATTATTGGAAATTTTTCTCCTAGCACATAATCTAAATATCTTTGCTTTGTATTAACCATCTTTATTCTTGTTTTTTCCCCAACTGGACACAGAAAACCAATCACTACAATCTTTATAACATACTTTTACGTACTGGAAGATTGTAATCACATCCTCCCTCAATCTGCTCTTTTCTAGACTAAACAAAACTAATTCCTTTAACCATTCTTTCCAGGTCAAAGTTTGTGAACCTTTTATCTGTGTAGAATAGCATGCTTAAGAAATTCTCATTCCTGAACAGGTGGTGTCAAAAGGTCAGGTCAGTTTTCTCTTAGCTTGTAGGGTGAGCCTATTTAGCTGACATTTAGAAATCCAGATATTTCTGATAATAGATGCTGGTGGAAGAATGTCTGTTCACTGGTCTGTTTGGCACTGTATCAAATCATTAATTCTATTTCTCTTTCAGAAGATTAACGCCAATTTTGGTAGATGTTCAAGTGAGACATTCAGAATATTTTTCCAAATGACAGAATTGGAAAAATATAATTGCTTGTTTTAATTCATATTCAGAATCTTTCCAGTTATGCCCTTAATCAAACAATACTTAAAGTTTGGCCTCCTTTCTCCATAATTTACTTATATGTGCTTTCTTTATGCATTTAATTGATTATTTGTGACCTGAATGCAAGAAAACAATTATTTGAACTTGAAATCAACAGCTCAGTCAGGTGCATAAACAGTTCATTAGATGACAAATTAAAGGCTGTAGCAAAAAGTGGCACCATTTGGTTAAAGAGAAACATACAGATTTTCTAGCAGCTACGTGGGGGCTCTACCAAATTCATGCCTTCTAGGGTTCTGAGCCTCTAAATTCTTATTCTGATAAGGCAGACATTAATTTTAAGATATTTCCTTTTGTTAGACTCACATTCCACCTCCCTTTAATGAATGAACTAAGAAAAACCTGCAGTGTCTTTGAAGATCACCAGTCTAACTTCTAATCCCTTTCAAAAGAATTGTTTAAAATGAAGTCAAGCTTCCTTTCCATTTTCATGATAAGTATGGTGTTGATTTTCCCTCTCAGATACATTATTTTATTGAAAACACTACAGTTGACATTAATCTTATTACTCTTATTTTCTACAGTTATTAAGCCTATATTGTTATACTCAGTTCCATCTTTTCTTCTGAATAAAACAACCCTCAAGAAATTAACCTGGCCAAAGACTGGCATTTTTTTCCCACATCAGCAACACTGTTTAAAAAGAACTGTGTAATTTCCTGTTTCATGTGTTCCACTACTAGGATTCCTGAAAAGAAATTGAAAAAACTTCACTGGCTCCTCCTCATGTGCATTCCGAAAAATCTGAAGGCAACATATATGATTACTGCATCCTAGCCTTTGGGAGAATGCAATGCTCATGTCCATTACCATCGAAGACAAGGAAAGTCTGAGGACAAAGTAAGAGACAGAACTTGAAAGCCTTCTCCTCCACTGTCTTCTGCCTCTCAAGTGGTCATCATCCTTCTGATGTGGTGGAGTCCTCTATCCCCTTTGTATTCACCTTAGCTCAGCATAAAGAACTGACTAATCAAAAGGATCATGTAAAAGACGATGGCCATCAGTAGATCAATTTTGAATTTTTTATCCCATATGGCTTACTTTCCAGGCTAGAAATACTCTTGTACCATATTATATGTTACCATTTGAGATTTTGTCAATCAAATTAATGTTTGGGTGGCATTTTACACTGATTATAAGAATAATAAGGGAATCGGAAGCAGAGTCTTCTATCTTTCATTAATAACCTTTTCATGCTATTTCATTTTATTCCAAATACAGTCATCTTGTAGATTAAAAAAGGAACCTCTCTTGTCTGTCTACTGGTTAATGAAAAGAAAACCTAATGTCACTACTTTGCAATCTTAATTCAACAATAGTACTCTCAGTGTCCTGCTGTTATTTGTGACATGTTCACATAGGATTATTTTTTTTCCTCTTCATGCATGTTTGTGTCTTTCCTTCTGACACTTACAACTATTTGCAAGAAAAAATTACACAACATGAAATAGTAAAAAAAATCTCCACATTCTACTGAAGTCAACAGAAGATAGGGCTGCTCTGATTTGTGACATCTGTTAAAATGACTCCTGCATCAACTTTTGTAAAATAATCTTTAAATTAAAAAAAAAAAAAAAGTGTTTTCTTGCAGACTGAATCTGGAAAACGATATAGATATTATATACACAATGCAGAATATATGTAATTCTCTATCATTAGTTGCTACAATTCTGCTTTGGTATTATTTACTTTACATGCAGACAGTATCAGATTTGCCCATAGTACAAAAAGAGAACATTGATGATGGATAAAAACAACAGAAGTCACTATATATTAAATTTATTTAGATAGTAGAGGTTATTACATGACTTTATTCAAACTATAGCAAATAGAACAATTCATATGATTATGTCTTCTAACCTCAGAGAATAAAAGAATTTAATTTAAAAATTACTTCAATATTATTTTCCCAATACTACATACAAGGAACTCCACATAGAATCTTTTAAGCAAAGATCTTAATGTTTTACTTGTGTAACACAAACCAAGGGTAATTTAATATATTTCACCATATATATTCTCAGTTGTTTCATCATTTCCTCTTAACTTGTCATGAGAAAAACCATGGAGGATACTTACATCAGCTGTTATGAAGCTCACAGTAATTCAGATATAATAACTTCAATGATTAATTCTGCTCTTTTCCCTAATGTTGTTAATAACCACAGGTTAAAAAGTGGTTAAACTTTTTATAACAGGCACAGTTAAAATGCCTTAGCCATCTGGCTTTCACAAGGAGGATCAAATATTAACGCTAGTTCTTTCTTGTATTCTCACCTTGTTCAAAACAATTATTTGACCAATACTAACTTTCTGCGTTTATATTACCACTGGGTGTGTTCAGTTCAATATTGTAATTTTTCTTTCTGTATTTGAGTCTCTTTTGAGTCTCACTTTAAAGCTAAGTGACATATAAGGAAGATAATTAGAATAAAAATAACTTCAAAAGAAATATAATTATGATATAAAAATACAACACAGCTGCAGAAACAATTTTAAATTTAATCTTCACGTAAAAGACCTGCAAGGATGAAAATTTAGATTCAAATAAGGGCTTTATCTTTGTCTGCTTGGGCTTAAGACTCATTCTTTATAAGATCATATGGTACACACAGTGGTGCAGGACACTTTCAACTTTCATAGATCCTTCGAGGAAAATGGTGAAACTCTCATTTTTCTATGACTGTACTGCTCCTTAAAGTAGTAAGACGTGGTGACTATTAACGTATATGGTGGCTTTCTTAGGTACTCACACGTAAGTCCCAATTTAACTACCTAAAAAACTATCACCATGCAGGATGTGGCTTCGGGATGATTTAAAGAAATCTCTTTCTTTCTTGGACGCTCCATAACTTGTAAGAATATCTGGCACTTGATGTTGAGTCCCTTAACTGATAAATACAATAACAATACATATACAAAAGTGTTCTTCTGGTAAAAAGATTATATAGCAAAGCTGCAAAAATTGTGAAACAGAAATTAACCATGAATGTTTCTATTAACAAGCATTAATCTTCCTTGTGTCCTTTAAAAATTAATGGCTCTCTTACATGTTAAGGAAATAAAATACTTTATTATTGATGCAGCAGCACAAATGACAGGTAGGAGAATCAGAAACAGTTTCTGCCTTTTTTCACATGGGTAATGGGGTGTTTGGCCACCTAGTAAAACATCTGGCAAATTTTGCAATTATTATAAGGTTAATTCCATATAAAGTTCGTTCATTTCAACTGTAATGTAACTGATTGTGCACATAACCAATCACCCATGACAACGTGGTTTCTCT